TTTTGGACATCCTGTATATTAATGGTGTGAGCTTGTGTGTTCAAAAGCATGTCGGATAAATAATCTTCTCCAAACTGGTAAGGTGCAACGAATACTTATAAACACTCGCAAAAACATTCGATTTCTGACAGCGGGTTGTTCATTTTTCTATAAGCGATAATTTCTAATCGGTTAAGAAAAGCGGAAAAAGCCAAAGTAAGTGAAAAATCGACCTGAAGTTGGGTGTTAAGGTAGAAAAGTCCATGGACTGGACCTTCGGCAGTGGGTGAGAATCGTCCATTGGCCCTACCCTCGCAACTGGGGCCTGCTCTGCCCTGACGTATATGATCTGCACGACGTACCTTAGTGCATGCAAGACAAATATGCACCTTAGTAAGTGAATGGACCATCTGGGCAAGACAAACTAAGTCTGTTATTTTACACCCCAGAAAACGGTTCCGTTGATACAATGGAGAGAAAATATGATACAATTTTCCTCTTGACTCAATGGAATTTCATTGATTTAAGGGAAAAATTTCCATAGGGTAATGGAAAATCACTTAAAGTTGCGGGAAAATTCTATCATTTTCCATTGGTTAAATTTTCATTGATCCAAGGGATTCTTCGTTAATTCAATGGAACCATTTTTTTTGTGTGCAGGCAGTTGTGAACGTTTTCTTCGTGTAATATCCAATATCCCGTTGTTCCCCTAAATTTAATTACAGCGTCGCATCTAAGTGGTAAAAATGTGACGCCGTGCTTTCGTTGTATACTCGACTTCTGCTTTTATCGCTTCGCAGCAAGATGGCAGTGTCGTGTTGTCAAAAACGGGATGTGGTGTTTTCGTCAGGCATTTGACGACGCCAGTTTTACGACTTCGAAACAAGAAAGGGATAGTCGTAGCTGTTCAAGACATGATACCGTGTTTTTATCATTTTCCATCAAAAGACAACACCTTAGTGTTCACTAATGACCCCCATCAGTTATGTTTCCTCCAAACGTGTTACATTAACACCTCTATAAGTCGTCATAGAAATTTCTGTTTTAAATTTCAACGTGAATTTCGGAGAGTGCTTACTGGAGGGGGTGGGGGGTGGCACATAAAGTTACAATGCACTCTGCACGTGCACGAGCATGAAAAGCAAGGCCAGCGGAGGGGAGAAAAGGTAAGCGGCGACCTTGTAGCTGCCAGCTTGTGTTTGTTTAATACTATTTGTCATATGCAGTCCCGTCGGAAGTGAGTATAAAGTAAAGCTTTGTGTGTTGGAGTGAGTGCCTGTGTGTTTGCAATTGATGTTCAGACTTAAACCTAGCTAGTAATTAGTTTGTCATACTTAGAATTTTTCTTTGTTACTACTTCTAATCTTAATTGTCAAAAGAGCTAGCTAAGACGTTAATAGATTACCCCTAAAATGATATAACACGTCACACTGAGACTGATATTCATATGCTGTTCCCATTGGACTATTATGTGATGTAGAATTACGTAACTCTATAGTGGTCACGCTACGCCATAGAAAACTGCGGCTGCCACGCAGCTTGTTAGTTAAATAGTACTCTCAAACGTAGTTTTTCTGATCTTTCCACATTGAAAATATTGGCAAGGTGCACTGATAATTCCTTTTGAAGGATTTACTTTCATTGCGAAGCGTTTGCAAAGAATTTCTTTGCCAAAAAATAACCGAGCATGCTGAAAAGCTGCTAGTTATAGCAGGAACGGTTTATCAAAATGCCTTAAACTTTCAGTTATATTGCTTCTATTTTCTTAAAAACCTCTGTCATTTTCATAACAAGATTCAAACATCTTGTACTGCCTTTGCAATTATCGTTAATCTTCCAAATTTTTCAATTTTCGCGTGGGTTCATGAATGTTATTAAATCGAAACTTAGTACACCGGGTTATTAGTTTCAAATATATCAGTAACTATTTCTTACGTTTATGTTTACAGGAGTACAGCGTTCAGCTTACATTCCGAGAGCAGTGGCTCGATGAACGACTGAAATTCAATGACTTTAATGGTAAGCGGAATTTTTCTCTACCCAAATTCCATTTGAGAAATCGTTTGTGTAAGATAAAACTTAAGGCAAATGTAGTAAACGGGCACCAAGAAGGGGTGGGGGCTTAGAAATGTTTTTCTTGC